TATAAAGGGTTAAATCTATTTTAATTACAGTAAGCTAAAACTGTAACCTTTAATTTAAAATCAGTACTTTGTTTACTGTTTTAAAATGATTTCTCACCTGTTAGGTGTACCTGCCTATTTTTGTTTTCTTAAACAATTGGCAGAAGTGCAATTTCTTCATAAGTTTTCCTATTTACAGCAATAAACTGTGTTAATTTATTTATCCAATCTCCACACTTAATAAAAGGCAGTTAACTTTTAAACCCAGTTTTTCACAGAGTGAATTAACACTTACTGCTACTGAATTAAGTTTTATGAAAACCCCCTTTTCAGTGTCAGCCAGACAAAAGTTGAAACACTGGTTTAAACCCTGTAAAATCTTAGGAAAAATTTAGAAATAAACCCTTTTTATTTATTAACAGCTCTGTGGTTAAAATATAACACTAAAAGCGTTATTTTTCCTTTTTCTCTCAGCGAATTAGGATTGTTTTTCCTCTAAGGCTTTTCTGAGGCCTACAACACTTGCATGCATTGATTAGTTTCGACCACTAGATGGCGAAATATTTATTTTGACCACTAGGAGCAGTTTAGGTTCCGGCTCGGACACACTCGCCCAAAGTCAAAATGGCGGAGCTTCCTGTTTTTAGCGCTTAGCCTAGGTAGCTCCGTGTTTAGCAGCTAGTTAGCTGTAGGAACTAACATGCATTGAAGTCTTTAATGACCGAATTTCACAGAAGATAGTTAGCGACTGCAAACCTATGACTTTTGTGAATCTTATCGCATCCTCGAGGCGTTTTTAAGCACTCGTAAAAAACTTTAAAGACACTTTTCCGACCGTAACGTCGGTTTAACTGCTCTAGTGTCTGTAAGTGTGTGTGTGTGTGTGTGTTTGTGTTAGCAGCGGGTGAACAGCATAAAAACACAGCATAACACTTCACAAGATTCAAAAAGCATTTCGGAGCAGCGTCCGAGATATGAATCAACACCAGCACAACTCAAGTTAAAACACAGCTTTAAGACAGATTAACTCCCTGAGACTGTCTGTCTGCCGCTTCAGCAAGCGGTAGCTTTTTATGAGCTCAACTTGGACCGAATCAGAACCGCGTCCTGCATAGGCTATAAGTCATTCCTTACCCCCTTTTTGATACAGAAGTTCCCACGAACTAAAACTGATTAACACAATTAAGAGGTCAACCTTAGCCTTTTCTGCTCATAAACCAGTCCTTAGACTGTCAACATGGACCAGAACCGGGTCGGGTCCCGTCTCCGAGCTGCTCTGCAGCTTCACACAGCAGTTTTTATACTGCTGACTCCTCGCTCATAATCCACTCTGAATTTATGGCGTAACCTAGAATTCTTCAAATTCTTTCAGTTAAGGAGTAACAGATTTATTCTATCAATGACTCATCGAGTCCTCTGATATAAATCTGACAGATCAGCCATGTAAAACACGCTTAAAGATCTGAAAACAACATGCACACCTTTTATGCACATTAACCACCTCGAAAGAGCTAGTTCAAACAGACTGTCGTACCGTGAAATGCTTAACAAGTCATAATCACACAACACTCTTAACTAACAGTGACTTCTCAAGAACATCAAAGGTTTTAATTATATTGACAAATGTCTAAAAAAACCAGGTCTGCAGTTCCTAGTAATTTCTCCGACATTCCCTGTCAAATAACAGCACCCTGACTAATCTAGATCACTGGCAGAAGCGACTGCATTTATTCAGCATTAATGCAGATTGGGCCACCATTAAAT